GCAAAAGGGAAAAACAAAAGCTGGGAAGTGTGGGAACAAAAGGAGGCAGAGCTGGAGCCAAAGCAGAGCTGCTGTTGGAGGAAAGAGAACAGGAGAGGTGACCTGTCTGCATGGAATGAGACAGAGACAGGAAAGGGAAAAGTGATGATTCTGAAACAGTGGAATAGGAATGCAGAATGGCACGATGGCAGCAAAGGGAGGTCTTGCTGCAACAGGATGAAAGGAGGACTGAGGATGTGTGACAAAGCAGGCAGACACCCAGCACAACAAGGGTGATGCACGGAAGGTAAAAGGAAGAAAAGACAGAGAGGTGAGATTTAAAACAACACAGGGGAGAGGTAAGCTTGGAATCTTTGAAGTTTGTGAAATTTGGAATTTCTCTTGGCCATTACAGGGCACAGGGCAATAATGTCCATGCATGGAGTCAYGATACACATGATACATGAGCCACAGGGCTCAGAAACCACTCACAATCACWGCCACCTCACCTTCTGCAGCCCTGGGGAATCCTGGCTCTAAGAGGATCCCATAGCTTGGGTTGGAAGGGACCTGGAGRATCATCCTGTCCCAAATCCTGCCCTGGGCAGGGACTCTCCACTACACCACAGGGACACTCCACTACACCACCAGTGGTAGACAGTTCCACTACGTGGATGGCTCCAAGCACTGCCCAACCTGGCCTTAAACTTTATTTATTTTTAATATTTTTAGTTTCAGCACCCTCATCCCTCCTCCTTCCTAAACACTATCCCGCAATGGATTTACAACTGTACAATCCATTTTTACAACATTTTAAAATACATTTTTACAACTGTCATAACTGGGTCTGGAAGAATCTTTCCCTCCCTCTTTGGGAGCTTTCCAGCACTGCTTCCTTCCACAAAAAATCCCTGCACTGTCCCACTCACATCCCCTTCTCTCCCACCAGGCTGTTCTTACTGCCTTGTTTCTAATTCTGGTTTTTGCAGCTTGTCAAACTTTGCCACTTCCTTTCCCAAAAGGGAAAGCGACCTGGCTCTTGCTCTCCTCATTTTCTCATTCCCGTTTTTCTTTTGCAGCTATCTCCTATTTCAGTGCCTGCCAGTTTTGATTYCCAGTTTTCCTTTGCAGAGGATGCTGTCACCTCCCACACCACAGCACAGGTGGAGGGCAGGTAATGGAAGGACCATGGCCTTCTCTGTCAGGATCCCCCCTCCACAGCCCCCCACTCCCCACTGCAGGGACCCCTCCTTCCCAGCCCCTCACTGCCCACCCTGCAGGGACCAAAAACCTTCACAGCCCCTCACTGCCCACCCTGCAGGGACCAAAAACCTTCACAGCCCCTCTCTGCCCACCCTGCAGGGAGCCCCCTCCACAGCCCCCTATGTCCTCCCCACCCTGCAATGACCCCCAGCCCCACTCACAGATCGGTTCCCACTCTGCCCACCCTGCAATGATCCCCCATTCCCACTCACAGATCGGTTCCCTCTCTGCAGGACCCTTCAATCCCCCATGTCCTCTCCACCCTGCAGGGATCCCCCACTCACAGCACGTTCCCTCTCTGCCCACCCTGCAGGGATCCCCCACTCACAGATCGGTTCCCTCTCTGCAGGGACCCTTCAATCCCCCATGTCCTCTCCACCCTGCAATGATCCCCCATTCCCACTCACAGATCGGTTCCCTCTCTGCCCACCCTGCAATGACCCCCATTCCCACTCACAGATCGGTTCCCTCTCTGCCCACCCTGCAATGATCCCCCACTCACAGATCGGTTCCCTCTCTGCCCACCCTGCAATGATCCCCCAGCCCCACTCACAGATCGGTTCCCTCTCTGCAATGACCCCCATTCCCACTCACAGATCGGTTCCCTCTCTGCAGTCCCCCTTCAATCCCCCATGTCCTCTCCACCCTGCAGGGATCCCCCACTCACAGATCGGTTCCCTCTCTGCCCACCCTGCAATGATCCCCCATTCCCACTCACAGATCGGTTCCCTCTCTGCAGTCCACTGCTGGGCAGCGCCGCCAGGGTCCGGTAGTCCAGGCGCAGGGGTTCACTGGGGACGTTCTGCAGAGGGGCAAAAAAACCACAAACATCAGAAAGGTCAGGCCTGAAGTCAACCAGATCAATGAGAAAGAGCAGTGAAAAGGGAACCACCCCAGTGATAACCAGTGCCTCATCTCCAAACTCGGCTGACTTCCCAATCCCTGGAAAAAGAGCTGGAATTGTTCAAAACACAACCATGGGAACTCATGGCAG